AAAAAAAAATAAACGAATAAAAGTTTATTCATGAAGAATGATTATATATACTTTTTAGTATTCAACTTAATTTATCAAATCAGAATTCAATTTTCTTCAGAAAAAAGCGCTATTTGATTAATTTATCAAACTTAGCATGATTTAAAATTATATACTTGAACGGATAAGCAAAATTATGATGCAAAGAAGGGTTAAGATGTAGGATGTGCAAATATACTAGCGAATGAATACATGAATTTATGCATACATGCGTGTGTGAATGAATAAACAATTAATTAAATAAATAAATAATTAATTAATTAAATGTTTAATAAGTGAATGAATTAATGATATATGAATGAGTAGAATATGACAAAAATTTTTAAAATGCTAATTACAGAAGCTGAACATCAATTCATGTAATCTGCTAGCTAGAAATGATACTAAATGCTAGCAAAATTATTTTAAGAATTACTATTTAAAATTTTTCTTCCATATAATTGCTGACTTCATTATCTTTAAATTATCATGTGAAGTACTGAATAAGTACTCAGATTACATTTGTACAAATTAAACTAAATTACAAATTCTTTCTCACATTTTGTTTGTATGCTTCAATTTCTAAATTTGTTTTACAAATAAAAATGAGTAGTGATTTGATAATTTTTTATTATTTCAGTAAAAGAACAAGATTCAAGTAGATTTTACTGAAAAACTTCATACTTTTTTGGCTACTGTCTCCTAACTTTCTGTCTATTATCATAAACAATAATTCAGAATGCAACTTTTTCCAGTCACCAAAATTTTTCTCAATACTTTCGCGCTTTTTTTTCCAACAAATTTAGAACAGCAAGGCCAGAATCAGATTTACTGATTAGAAAAAAATTGAAAATTTTGAATATGAAATCTGTTAATAAGTTTAGAAATGACGAAAATTAATCAGTCAGTATTCTTCCAAGCGTAAGTGGTCGAATGGCTTCAGGCGTAAATGACTGAATGAGTAAATGACATCGGAATGAATGAAATGAGAGGAAAAATTTTAATCTTTGCATAAGCATACAAAGAAATAGAGCAGAATGAGAAAAATGATAAATATTAAGATAAAATTTTTATAAATAATAAATGAAATTTTGCAGTGAACGAATAAAAAATTATGAAAAAAAGAAAACTATTTTATGATTTTAGTCTTTTCCCACGTTTGCATTTACGTCAGGCTACACTTCTATGCCACGTCTAATCTAAGTACAGATAAACTTAAATGAAAAGTTTAACTGAACAAAAGTAATAATTACTTGAAATTTAATCTAAATATCGAAAATAACAGCAAAAGCTCATTAATATCCTTACACAACTCATTAACATTGTATATACGAATATTAGTCACAGTTGATAATGTAGAAAAGGCATAAAATATGTCTATCCACAGAGAATTAATCAAGATATCATGATTTCATTATTACTATTATTTATTATTATTATTATTATTATTATTTATTATTACTTATTATTATTGTAGTGAATAACAGAAAATGAAAATTAGCTTCACTAGATGATAGATGACAACTATAAAGTACTACTTTTTTTGCATCTTTTACAGCTGAAACATACTTTCGAGAATTATTCTTCGTGCTTGCACAGTTATTCTTGAAGAATTGCCATTATAAAATTTTCAATACTAAATTCTTCCATTGAAATTCAACGAAGTATTCTTCCACTGTTAACAATAATTCTCATTAGCAAAAAAAAAAACACACACAATAAAGAAAAAATTTTTAAATTATTTCAAAATTAAAATTCAAACTATAAGAGATTATTAAGCACAGCAAAAATATCTTCAAAATTATTTACCATCTTTGGAAATAATTACTTATCTCAGAATAAAAGTATGCAAACAATAAATTAAGGTATATACTAATGAGTATACAGTACGTATACGTTAAATACGTGTACGTTAAATGTGTTAGCGATGAAAGGAGTAGATTTAAGAGATGTACTGCATATAATTTAAATCTACTTTACTTTCACATTGTTACGACAATTACTTTGCATAACAGCCGATAAAACATTTTGCATGATAAAATAAATATTACAAATGTAGGCGCGATATACACATACATACGTACTTCTGTGCTTCTTTTATTGCGATAATGTGCCGGGATTTATTGACATTTTATGCTACGAGCACGTGAGCTATAATAGTTCAGTGCTCTTCACAGATTGGATCGGATTTCACTGATGAGTTAGACTAGTCATGCCTTTCTTGACTCAGTTATATCTGTCTATGTATATGCATATGTGTGTGGGTGTATATGGGTATGTGTTTGTGTATGTGTATGGTGTGTCTATGTGCGTGTCTGAGTATGTGCGTGTATCTGCGTGCATCTGCGTGTATGCATTCATGTATATGTCTGTTCTCCGCTTATATAACTATAATATGCATTGTTTCAACTTTCAGCAACGGAATTAGCCTATGAAAGAATGAGTAATACTTAAAAGTGAACATATTTGTTGGTCTTCAAAAGTGAAAATAGGGTCTGTAAAATGTAAAAAAGATAGAGTTCATGTTTGAGTTACTTTACTTACTTACTTTACTTACTTACCTTACTTACTTACTTACTTACTTACTTAGTACTAACTAATTGCTGCCTGCTATCAAATTGCTCAGTCTCATTTTTGTTTAAATTTTTTTTTCTCCATCTCTAGTGCAGCTATTCTTCCGCCAGCATAAACATTTTTTAATCTTAACATATCTTATTGATCATTTTTAAAAGAATTGCGAATAACAAAACTGTTTATATTTCTAGTCATACATTTTAAATCAATCGCAGAATCCCCTCACTATTTTTCAGTTTTCAAAGATTAATGATGCGTACGTGAAAAACTTCGCTTGCTTTTGATATTACTTGCAGTTAATTCAATAAAATCTCATCCTGCTGAAGCAACCTTATTAAATATTGCATTCAACTTTTCCTTCTAGATTTTCCATTCTTCAGTTCAATCTTTCATATAGTTTTTTCTCTTTCAACTACTTCTTTTAAAATACGCTTCATAATGGTTCGCATTAGAAATTATATGACTGCAAGAATCATTAATACCGAAATCGAGCCTCATTATATTCCACGAACTATCCAGTCTATGCCCTAAAATATAGTAAATAAGTATAGAGTAAAAAGATATACTTATTTAGCTTAACTTAATAAGACTGAATTTGAAATTTATAGTCTGAGACTTTCATAATGCCTCCGCCAAGCAAACAAGCTGTAGGAAATCACAAAAATGAATTAAAGTAAAAGGTTCGAAAGTATAAAAATAAAATGAGGAGTAGCCAATCACTCAAAGAATAGTTCAAGGGTTTTCAACAAAATAAATCCCACGAAACTTTGCACTCACAGCAATAAAATAACAAGTAGTCACAACAGGTATGCACCAGGTATATACCTCCCTTATCATTGATTTTAATCTCAAATATATTCTTATTCAACTGAAAACACACTTTGAGGATGGAAGTGATGAGGTATTAATCCGAAGCAAATTCTTATCTCTCATCTCTATCCTTTTTACGGTTTCTTGGAAAAAAATAGAACAAGAAATAAACGTTAGCATATCGGAAATTTCCGCTTACACAGAAGTCAGTAAGGCATGCACAGTCGTTTGAAGAATTACAATGCTGGAGTTTCTGTGGGCGAAAGTAATACTTACCATTTATGATTAAAAGGATGAGAAACATCTTGCAAATATTTTAGCAAACAAAAGGGGAACTTTTACTTTAATAATTTATAGCAGTGAAAAATTTTTTGAAAATCAAAGTTGGTAACGTTGCATATCGATTTACACTTACCACATATAAAATAATCTTTCAGAAATAAAATCATAACAAATACTAGACTGCCCATGCAATACCATAATCAAATAATCGATCAGATAATCAAAGTATAAATAATAATCTTCAAATACGATTAGATAAGGAACACTAACATTGACATTTATGTACGATTAACTCATGTACATAAATTAATCATCTATTTGTGAAAATAACTGAAAAACTGCAAGAAGGCCTACATGAATGGAGCAATTTAAACAAAGAAACCCTCAAAAAGAGTGAGCAAAGAATGATTTAAGAATTTGGTAGGAATAACTTTCAGATAGTTACTTTAATCTATTAAATTCAAAGTGTTTGAAGCATCTTGAATAAAATGACCGGTCAATAATTTCAAAGTCTGCCGTTAAAAAGTGCAACAAATTGACAACTTTAGGAGTCTTGCATCAAACATTCACTTTCTGTATTACGTCTTCATTTCCTTCTTTCTGCTCGAGACGTTTTTGAAATCTTCGGACCAATGGTATCAATTTATCCAATTCACACGACATTAAAACCTGCAAAAGGTGAAGAAATCATATGAGAGAAAAAAAAAGCCTTATAATTGAAACACGTTAAAAACGTACACTTTTATTTGAAACAATTTCATCAATATGGCTATCTTTTAGCAGCTTAAGTTCATTTAGGCTATGCACGATATCACATAAAATTGTTTTAACGAAATTCGAACAGCAACAGGTTTCTGGTCAGTATGCAATAAAAATAAGCAAATAGAACTCAAATGAACCTAAACTGAAACATATGCATAGACTAGGAGTATAATTTTTATAATATTTGCTCTCTTATACAGGCAGAGTTAATGATTAGCTACTTCTTAACGTGAGCAAACATTACATTTATGCACCGTACAACCATTTTCAGGATATAACGACGTGCTTTGTTGTTGTGACTAAATTCTTCTGGCACTGTAAGTGCCAGGGCTCCTATGCATGCTTCTGTTAGGGCACTTTCAGCATGATTAACCACCCAATCTAAGAAAGTAGATATGACAAAGAAATGAGGCGAGTAAGTCTGAAATCACAGAAATTAAAATAACAAAATGAAATAAACAAATTCATCATCACAGATTTTAGATTTCAAGTCAGTTAACATCTTTTACGAAACTGTAAGATTTTCAAACTCACAAGTAATAATTTGTAACAAAACTATCCGTATACGCAAATTATCATTTATAGATTATGAAAAGCAAATGATTATTTGAAAGGCTTCTAGTACTTTTTTTAATTTTTTATCCTCTTTTCTCGATCAAATCACTAAAATAACTCACTCCTTCAAACCGTATTCTATTTTGCTTCGCGCTAGTCGATACACTTTTGCTTGATGATGCCACAAAATTCATCATTTTCTTTACATCAACATGCGCAAATATTTCACTGTTTTCTGCTTCATCTAATTTTTCCAAAGCATTTCTTAGTGCACCCACTAGCTTGTGCTGATTAGTACTACAATAGAAAAAAATGCGGAGATTCAATACTTTGGTTGAAAATTAAAGACTACAACATAAAAGTGACATGACTCCGAAACTAATTGGTTTTATTTCCACGTCTTTTATTTACTAGTTCAGTGTATTTTTATTTTCAGTGTTAATCAGACATTCAGAGCGTAATGTATTTAAATTTCATGAAATGTGTTTCACTAAATGTATTACCAGTAGCGTGGGAGTGACTGTCAATTTATACCTAAATTACATCTATTAACAGCAGCATGATATTTGAAATTAGGATTAAAATGACACAGAATAAGTAATATCTAAAATCAAAACAGTGTGCCCTCAAGTTAGTTCATCACATGAAAGTGCTGAAACCTTTACCTACTTGACGTGTAAGCATTAAAAAAAGTGTTCAAAGATGTATAAGGATACGGTTGGCATGCATTATCAAAGTAGCGTATTAGGAGAAAAGCTAGCGCAGATGGAAAAATACTGCATGTATCACATAGAATTTCGATCAAGCACTCAACGGCCATATGACTAAGTTTTTCATCCTAAAAACGGAAATACTAACTCATAATTTTTTGCTGACTGGATTAATGAAAAAAGTTAGATAAATGAAATGCACTTATCTAAATTTATTTACTTTTTTTCTTGCATTTCTTCTGCGAGAACTGCAATTTCGAAAACTCCAATTAAAAAAATCTTGATAAATACTGTATTTAATTACCAATTATAAAAACCAAAAAATTACCTCGTTGAATACCAACTTTTCAAATACACGCAAAAGCATCCGTCCTTTTTTGACATCACTGCATTTAGCATCTTGATAATACAACTGCGCAACTGCCGTTAAACCTCTCATCTTAGCCGACAAAGCAACAAATTTAAGAGCTACTGCCTACAGTCAATAAACTTTTAATATAATTGCCAAGAAATAAACTTTCATAATTTAATTTAAATTAATTTAAAAATCAATCAAGCACTTTATTTTCTTTGCTTTTTGATAGACAATAAAAATACTTTCATTTTATAATTTATCCTGCCTATAAAATTTAGCAGTTTCAATAATTTTTAGCATTTCAGCGATTTCTAATCAAGCAAAGCATGATATACTGCAATTATAAGTGCAAAATCTTTTTTAGAGAAAATCAAATAACAATAAACTTAAACCTTAACAGATGACGGTGCTACATCCACCTCAATAACTGAGCGCAACATGTGAATTCTTTCACGAGCAATTTGTGTATCATTTAAAACACCAGTTCCTATTACTTCACAAAGCAAGGGCCAAATGACTGGTTCAGGGCTTGAACAATAAGTATCAACCTGGAAAAGGAAATCTGCATTAAATGAGCAATTTCATACGCTAACTTCTTTAATATTTCATTTATCAAACTTGCTCCTTGTCGATATTTTCAAATTTACAAATGTATTTTATGCTTAAGAGATAATCTACAATATTACAATGATGAATAACTTTATATATTCAACAATTTCCACCAAAACCGAATTCTGGAGATAAGTGCATTTCTTTTTTTATTTCTGATATTTTATAAAAAATATTGCAAATAACAAAAAAGAAAAATCGAGAGAATGAAAAAATATCCAAATTTTGTATGCTAAAAAATTAGGCAATTAGCACGTCAATACAGTGAGCAAAAATTGGATATATTTACTCTCATCCTTTTATTGCTTATGAAATTGTCAAACATGACAACCAACAGAACTTTTATTTATACAAAAATATTAATTAAAGGACTAAACAAATAATTGGTATCTTTAAACAATTTTTTCCGAAATCTATTACAATAACGTTATTTCAAATTTTCGAAAGGTATGACTAGAAATATAAAATAATTAGCACTAGCAGTAGAGCAACATAAAACATACCACTTGATCAAATGCAGCTCGCAAAAAAGTAGTCATTTTGGTATTACAAAAAGTCTGCATTACTGCATGAAGAAATAGCAGTGCTCGTTTCATGCCGTGACGAGCTAACTACAAAAAAAAAGGAAATATTTGGTAGAAAAAAAAAACATGTTAAGTATAATATTTTGTTATTTTTAGCCCTAAAACTACTTTTGACCCTAAAACTACTAGATTATAAACAAATTCAATGTCTGTAACAAGTATTTTTATTTCTACCAAATATTAAAACACTGTTGGCATATTTACCTCATCCTTGCTATCTTCATTAGCAGACACAGATGACGTAATACAATTCATTCTACGCTTTTCCAATAATGCTTTAATAATAGGCAACTCTTCGGTTTCATTGAGATCGGGAGTTAAAAAACTATTCAAGCGATAACAACACCATTCAATAAATTCCTGTATTGAAAATTACTTCTATAGCAAGTCCAAAATCTTTATCAGTGGCAGCGCATACGGCAGAGATATCAAATCATATTTGCTCTTGAGTTAAATCTTATTGCTTTTACTTGATATTAAAACTACAAATAATATGGTATGTTATGCAGACTAAATGCTTTGTAGTAAACAGCTAAAAAACAAAAAGTTTATGGTATGGTATGAAGATATTTTCGTTACTTGGAAAGTTTCCAAAAAAATCTTGCAGCTTTCACCTTCAGTTTTTCATCCTCTTGGTAGAACAGTTTGTACAGCTCGCATACAGCAAAGTGCAAAATTTTTCCTGAATTTGGCAACTCTCGAGTTGAGATAATTGTTTCTAGCAAATCTCTCCATCGTTCCCTGAAGTCATGACAATTTCTAAAAAAAATGTTGCAAATAAGGTTTTGCAAATTCTTCAAGAAAAAATTGTCAAATATTTACATTCCAACTTTATCCGTTTGATCAAATGAGCGCGTTAATAAGCACAGTTCATAAACGATGAATTCTTCAAACATTCCTTGTGTTGAATTTTCAGTGGATGCCCAGTTTGTCAGAACTCTATAAATACATATTTGAATTTATAAATTCTCACATTATCAAATCTCAGTGTTGTGATAATTATTAGTACATAATCAAATTATCAGAGTGAAACTCAAATAAAGCAAAAAAACTGTTGCAATGAAAGCCTTCATTTTGAATGATCATTTGAAAATTTTTAAGAGTTGAGGAAAAATTAAACCGTCAATACGGTGCAAGAACTTCAGTATTTTATTATTTGGGTTATAAACACTATTTACTTAAAACTGTGAAGTGCTTAAAACTTAAAATGCTAATGTAATAAAAATGCTTAAACATCATACTCATAGAGAAACTCGACGAATTCAACCAAATCTGGTAATAGAATATGCAATGATTCGCATCGATCACTTTCATCAACAGCATGCATTCTGCAGTGTTCACAGAGAGTTCTCCAAGTAAATATGAGACCGGCTACTTGATATAAGTTGCCTCTAAAAACTTAATCCTGATCGCTGTGTTCTTTAACAGCATTCCTCGCTTCAAAATAAATATGACGCAAATTAACATTTGTGCATAATAGAGAACCACCCATTTCATGTGAAAATATGTGTATTGAATCATAAATTACTGTGCCATGTATTGAGTGGTAACGTAAGTTATGACTGAACAAGCAGGATATATTTATACGAAAATGATTTATTTCTAAGGACTTTAAAATCTTTGACAAAAAATTACTAAAAATTGAAGTGATGAATTCCGGGTTTCAAATTCAATAAAGAATTCAGCAGATTCGTAAAACTGCAGTATGCAAATTAAACCTGCGACATGAAGATGCATAATTTCGTTTGTCGAGTATTGAAGAATTCAAGAGTGTAAACTGTCTGTTTTCACTAATGGCTGTTTGCACTGCACTACACATTTCTCGAATGTTCTTAACCATTTCGCTGGTCCGAGAATATTTCGACTGTTGTTGGTAACGTTTCAGAAACATGGTTAAAGTCTAAAAAGTGATCATACTCTATATTATTAGCAAAATTTTTAGACCTCAGCATTTTACAAATTTAACAATAATTAAAGAAAGTACGCAAAAGTAAAGAAAAAGAAGACACTGTTTATAAAGGTGCAAAAAAGGAGAATGACAAAAGTCGTGCTCAATTTCAATTTGAAAATAAGTGTTTTCTAAATGACCGTCGAAGCATCAATCAACAATCATGATTATTTAAAAACAAATCTTTCCATACTTGCTGGGTTGTTCCTGGATCAGAAAGGAAATCAAGTTGCTCCACAAGATTAAGCAGAGGCACTCCATCTTCACCAACCCAGCTTACAAGCATTCGTTCCATAATCTTCCGCAGCACTACTGCAATTTACCAGAATTTGTTTTGAACACAACCATAAAAGCTACATGATGCAAGAGAAGCTATAAGTTTTTGAGCTACAACAGAAAGTTCGATTTGTTACATTTAAATTTGAAAATTTAGAGCTTAAGAGGTAACCAATAACCATCATCCGTAGCCAATCCTGTTCGAAGTAGCTGCATGCGCTGTTCAACAGTAAGAGAGCGTACGTGTAGATTACATGCAATGCGACTATAACCCAGACGACGAACATTTTCATTGCTTTCAGTACAGACTGCTAAAATAAAAGCTGATATATTGTCTTCCGTCAATAGAGGTGCGTATCGAACTGCCGCAGTTCGAACATCACTGGAAATATCTTGCAGAGACTTGACAATTTCTGAAAAATTTTATTCTCACTTCTAGCGCTGAAACAATGATATATTATTGTGAAGTGAATGACTACTTTCAAAATGATCGAAAAATATTTGCTTCTTGAAAAATATATGCTTTAAGAGAGGATTGAGAAATATTTATCGCTCAAATTTTATTTCAAATCCAATGACATGTTACTTTCCGTTACTATTACTTATTAGTTACTATGGGTATTACCTATGCAAGCCAAGCAAATGAAATAAACAAAAATAGTGAGTTATACGTTTATTACAATCGAGTTGAAGTTCATCTGCTATATTTTCACTGATTCTATTCAATACAGACAAAGAACGAAGTACTTCAGCTCTCACAGCTGGACTCTAAAAGTTTCATCAGTTGCAATGATGCCTTCATTTTTCGAGCCATTTTCATTAAGTAAAACTTCATGATATGTTTAGTTTTCCAATATTTTTTACTAATTATTTTTTGATCTAAAAATTTTTGGAAAGAAGCAAAAATTACCTTATCATATATCCTATTTTTCAAAATTTTGGTCAAACACTTTAAAACATTCGTTGTCAAAATTCTTTCTTCTCCACATTCTGTGGGTTCGAATTCCGACTCTATTTCTTCAGTTTCTTTTAAAAGTAGTGTTATCAGCAGACAGCATCGATATCGCGATGCATCATAAACCGCAAATTGTATCTCAAACAGAGAAAATATTGTGTTTATTTCTATAAATGAAACATTCAAAACAGTTACTATTAAATAATTCAGACAAAGATTTATGAATAAATATTTAAAAGTTAATCAATAGTTTAGTGAGTACAATATTTTCCACATTTATATACGTGAAGCTCACATTCTTGATATGCTGAAGAAGAACTGTAAAAAAAGGAGGAATAGCGGCATCTTCCGATATCATTTTTAAGCTGCATTTTACAAAAAACAAAAGACATCGGTTTGCAGTTTTATGCGTTTCTGGCTGACCTGTGAAGTACCAAAGGCACAGTTTTTCTTCTTCTAATAAGGCATCAATATCAATTTCATCCTAAACTGTACTGTTGCATAAGTATTAGCTAATATTTTGTAATACAATAATTCTTAAAATCCGCTAAACTTTTTCTTGGAAAGTTTTCTTGTCATTGTAATTCAGCTTTTAAGAAACATTTAAAAAAATTTCAAAACACTACAAGCTAAAAAAACTAACAAATCATTAAATGCACGGAATATAACTAAAAATTGGACTGCTATTAAATAACATAATTATGATCTGTTTGTGGATTCTAGAATGCATAATTTAATATTCTTTCATTTCACCAATAACATTTTTTTACGACTTATCATGTGAGACATGTGATGTTCACAAATTTTGCTTAGAAAAAAACCTGGCGAAAATCTTGGCAAAATTTTTCCACGCATTCATCCATGTCTTCAGTGTCTTCCATGTTGCGAATTTTTTTGAGAAAGTCTCGAAGTAGCGATGCTTTTTTGAAAGCACCATCAAACGCCAGTTCATTAGTCGACTCTTTTGAATTTGGCATATTTCATTAATTCTGAAGCTCAATCTCAATTCATTTAATCCGAAATTTTCTAAAATTGTGCGTTTGTGCAGTTTTAGCTGAACTGTGAAGTACCAAAGGCTGTTTTTCTTTTTCTAATTAAGCATCAGTATTAATTTCATACTGTTTCAACTGTATTAATTGGAAACAAAAGTTAAAAATTTACAGTTAACTAATATTGATTTTAATAATAATAATAATAATAATAATAATAATAATAGTAAGCGCAAAAAAATGCTAAACGGATAATAAAATGAATAAATGAAGGATAAATATAATTGATAACTAGCGTCTAAAAGTAATTTACTTTCCAAAATACCAAAACACTGAAAATATTTATAAAAATGTACAAGCAAACGATTATGCCCGTTTGCTACTGTAATGCTGGCTGTAACACTGATATTGTTTTATAAGTGTCACCTGACCTCTTAAACAACTGAACTAAACTATTTTCGAAGATGGAACATTTTCCTGACCTCATATCCTTTCTTTACTTTATCAAAGATATAAGCTTCTTTTAATGCAGTGAGTGATGAAATCTGTTTTTCCCTTCATCAGATTTGAAAAGAACCTTCTAGAAACTTCTTTCCGGACCAGTCAAAATAATGTAAAAAAGTGGAGAGTTAGATAATACGGAGTTTGCAGCACAAACTATTTCGAATTTCGCACTTCTTATTCATTTTGTCTTCTTGTACTTGAGACTTTTATCCATATAAGCTTTGACAGAGTTCAAGTAAATGCTAAAGTTCAGGTTACTGTAGGTATACCTACAGTAACCTGAACTTTAGCATTTACTTGAACTAGCTTTGCTTATTTATGTTGTTTTATTACTTGTATAAATAGTTATTTATGCAAATTATATTTTGTTTTCTGATTTTTGCATGTTTTTAAAATATAATAAATTTGAGAAAAATGACTGAATATGCTTTGTATTAATATCACATATTAGCCTTATTATTATTCTGTGAATAATTTGAATTTAAATTGAACTGATTTTTTGCATGTTTCAGATCAATAATATGCCAAATTGCAGAACTGTATGCATAAATTAGTTGCAATCACATCTTTCGTCCTAAAGCAATTGCTTATTTTGCAAGTCGTCTATTTTTTTATTTTTTCGCAAATATAAATGTTTATTGAAGATTGAAGGATGTTTTTTTGTGATTTTATACTATTCTATAAAAATATAAAACTGATAAATTACAAGAGGGGAAAATTTTTGATGTTAGAAAAGTATTCTATTCTGAAATAATTTTCGTGCTTAATGCAAAAAATTATCTTTGAAGTATGATTCTGAAAAGGTAACTTTAGCATGAAAATCGCCACGTGAAATATACGCATGTTCATGATTATTCTTTTCATAATTTTTGCATGTCCATATTGATCTAAAGTTTCTGACATGACATGTTATGTATTTCTTTTTAATAATCATAATTGATTTCACGTAACACGTGCAAACGTAATTTGTATAGTATTACTAAAAACCTTATTTTCATATCTATGATTTTGATCAAGGAAACTGTCTGAAGCAGCCGTACAATTTCGACTAGTTACGTGAGAAAAAAAAGTGAAAAAATTATAAAAATCCTGCAAGTTTGTTACATGTTATTCTTTGTCTTTTAATATCAGTATAAGCCGAAAATATTTTAGTATGGCAAAAATTTTTGAAGCTAAATTTCAGCAAAAAAATGCAACATATACGTGTAGTAATTAGTTTTGTATGTGATAATAATTAATTTCAAAATTCTGAGTGTTACGTAGCTTATTTAAGAAAAAGCTATACTTGAGATTATTTTTGTTTAAATATTGTATATTTTATTCAATTTTTAAACAATTTGAGAGGGTGAATATGTGTTTATATTTCAAATTAATTGCATTTTTGTTCCAAATTTGATATAATATTAATTGCTATTTTTTGATAAAGTTTGAGTTTTGGAATCTGTATTAATCTTATAAATAGTATTGTTGTTTAATGAATGCTTTTAATTTTCCAAAAATTTGTCACAGACAATAAAACATAACAATAGAATTGTCCATTTTGTTTCAGATCTTTGCATTCTTTTAGAAAATATTCCATCTGAAATGTAGTGATAAAAAGTGTTCCAGTGAATTTCTGCAATAAATTAATAAGCTTTATGCAACAGTGAGTTGTTGATTTGTGTAAGCAACTTAATCATTCAAGAATTAATAAGAGTATGCCAAAAAGTTGAATAATTAAAGTTTCTTGTAAACTTCATCATAAATCACATCAACAGCTTAATTTTTGCTCACCAGACTTATTAGGATCTCTTGAATAAAAATTTTGTTGAACTTTAGTCTTTCTTTTATGACAAGCCAATCGGCGAAATTCAACCATTCGAAAATAACATAAAGGTTGACATACAGCATGCATACCAATTAGAATCTATAATTATAATTTATTAATAATTTTTATTTTATTTAAAATATTGAAACTTTGTACGCTTATACTTTCATCTCAGTACGAGAATCCTACAATATATATTACATATGCAGTTAGAGAATCGAATTTCGGAAACTTTAACTGAATTAATTCTGAAAAGTTTAACTAAATTGACAATATTGATCAATGATTACAATCTAGCAAACTTACTTGTAAGCTCCATCTGATGACCGCAGAACGAAATGGAGATACAAGAATATTACTAAGGTGAAGAAATGCTAATAGCTGCATTCCAGAATAAGGAAACAGGAATAATATATAAACGAATAGAATAGTACCGATTACGATCAAATATTTATGCCTTGACATTAAATGCGTTTTCCAGTGACGACGTTGTTTATTACTGTAAGATGATTTTTTTGTTATGACCAAATGCTATTTAATTCACACAAAATATAAATCTATGCCTACTTAGTGATATTACTTGGTTGAGATTCTAATTTATCTACTCGTAACCTGTTAGATGAAATAATTCGCTTTGATTGCACAGAACTAGAAGAATCTGAAAATATTTTTTATTTTCAAAAAACAAAAAAAAAGTATAAAAAAGATTACTTCTCAGTGCATTACTATGACTACAAAAATAAAGTGTAATACTTTACAACTGTTATATTTATAATTACGTGACCTGAATTCAAGAAAACTTCATTACGGATACGTCGTATTGTACACATTATCGAAACGTAACAAAGCTAAAAAATGTAATTATTTGTAATGAATTATTAAAAATATATACTAACATTTTATTACACTATCAGAATTCACCATTTTCATGAATATCCTTTTAAATACATCCCTTAAATTGTGCAGAAAAATATAAAATCTTTGCTTTTTTTGTGTAATAATACCAAGAAATAAAATTTTTTATACTCATTTGCTGCAGTTAATGATCTATTCCTATTTCCAAATTTGATATTCTGATGATTGAATAAAATACCATAAAGTTAATCTAGTTTAAAATTTTAGATTAATTTTCAAACGAAATTATATAATTAAATTAAGAAATTGAAGTTACTGGTAGGAAAAATTCTTACCATTACAATAAATAAACTTAGGTAACAAAGAAAGAATGTCAGCAACATCGATAGCATATTAACAATCATTACTGAAGCCCGACGAGTAACTTTATGATCTGAAAGTATTTGAATTTTTGAAAGAATGATATTTTTATTTACATTTTATATGTTTTAATTTTATTATTAAAAATATAAAATTGTATTTTTAGTGCTTATTTCTATCTAAGTGCTAAGATAATTAGTATAATGAAATCCCCATAATTTCATTTTAAGGCAAATCTAGCCGTTTTAAATAATAATAAATGTTAATTTGAAATCATAAAAGATGAATTGCAATATTACACTTTTAAATATTAATTGCTCATTTTATATTCTTTTCACTATAATGACTAAATCTAGCACTAAAAATAGTCTTTTTTTTCATTTTTTTATTGCTAATAAAAAAATGCAAGTGTAAATTATACGTGAATTAGAAGTAAAACAAAATATAAAGTGTAAAGCATACGTGAATTAAAAGTGGCATTAAAGGTTGAATTATGAGCGAATATATCATTATCTTCTCGTACGACAACTACTGAATGAGCAGATTGGAAAAAGTTTGAAAATAATGATCCAATTCCGAGTATTAAACTTATCAGCCAACTGTAGCATTAATTAAAAAATAATTCAGTAGTTCATAATTTTTTTTTTTTGCCTTTTTTTACACAAAAAATATGTTCAAAAAGCGCGGCTTTACAACTTCATGAACAATCAATTGCAAAATTTGAAAAAATTTTTTAAATAATTTTTATAGTTTATAAATTTAGTAAAGAGAAATAGATAAGGTCAGGATATTGTGTATACCTGAAAATATACAACAGTTAATGTAAGTATGAACAAACTTAAGTTTGACATTTTGAATAGCTATCAAAAAATATTACAATTTGTAATTATAACAATTAAATCTGAACTTGCAAAGTAATTTTGTGAATGCTAAAAAACTTTTATACGTAGATTTCACGTAATTTAAATAAGTAATTTTAAAAAAAATTATAAACATATTTTATTTAACCTTTTAATCACGTATATTACTTTTTCCATTTTACTTTAAAAATTTTGTGCAAAATAAATTAATTTTGTAAAATATTAAAAAATATTTTACCTAAGTAGTAAAGAAATTAGAACAATTTGTCTTTTAAAGTGACGTCTGTACAGCAATGGATAGCGTATTACTATATATTCATTACAAGTAAATATCAGTAAATTAAATATCGTAAGCAAATTACATGAACGAAGTATTACGATGGTGAACTGATTTATCTAAAATTTTATTCAAAAACTATCACTTAATTATTAAACAATATTTCATATTAATATAAAATTATTATATAAATTCTAATTCTGAGATATAAAAAAAACAATTATTTTATATTTACCTTTAAAACTAATAATCGATCGTGGATAGAAGTATGATTACCAATAACAATATGAGGTAATCCCCAAATAATTAAGCAACATCCACGTAACAAATCCACTATAGAACAATGAAATACCATAATGTAGAAGACATTACGTAAAATACGCTTGCGATGCTTAATTATAATAGTAATTATGAATAAATTGAGTAAAATGCATAAAAATCCCAAAATATCACATAATATCACAACTGTTGAAAACATTTCATTCTGAAATCGATGTATAATCAAAATTATTTGAAATTCAAAAAATTTGCAAATAAAAAATTAAATTATAAAATGCAAATAAATTGTAAAAGTTACGTAAGTTAAGTAATAAATGCTTAATAAATTTA